CTGTTTATTCTATTTTGGCAAGTTGTCATCGTCGTGAACAATGCTGGACACCGTGATTGACTGTGGAGTCCCCACCTAACCTTCCTACCAGACCTAAAGGATCTCGTATAGATTAGGGGTTGGGACCCCACGCTTGTTTTTTTTTGTTTGTTTTTTTTAAACCACCTCCCACCCGCCATATAGTAATATGACGGGCGCAAGGTGGTTCTCTCGTTCTGGGAGGACGTCATATGATGTCCTCCCATTATCACTGCGCATGCGCAGCTCAGAGAACGCGCAGCACCAAAGGGCAGCACAGACCTGGTTATTACTCACTCAAGCATGGCTGAACAAAACCAGTCTCTACCACAAATCGGCGATCGGCGGTGCGCTGTGTCCCTCGGACACAGCAGATCACCAATCACGGAAAGAGCCGAAGATGTCGGCTCGGTCATGTGATCAGCTGTGTCCAAATCACAGCTGATCACATGTAAACACGGAAATGCCGGTTATCGGCATTTCTCTCCTCTCGAGCTGTCACGCTGACAGCTCGAGAGGAGAGGAGAGCCAGTAATCGGCTTTCTGCGGACCGGGGGACATGTACACTGATCATCAGGGCACTGATGATCAGTGTGCCCTGATGATCAGTGTAGCCCCAGCAGGGTCACCTGTAAGTGTCCATCAGTGCCTCGTGCCAGTGCCACATTTCAGTGCCTACCAGTGCACATCAATGCCACATATCAGTGCCCATCTGAGCTGCCTTTCAGTGTCACCCATCAGTGCCAGTCAGTGCCACCTATCAATGCCAATCAGTGCTGCCAATCAGTGCCACTTATCAGTGCCACCTATCAGTGCCAGTCAATGCTGCCTATCAGTGCGCATCAGTGCGCCTATCAGTGCATGTCAATGCCGCCTATCAGTGCCAGTCAGTGCCGCCTATCAGTGCCAGTCAGTCCCGCCTAATAGTGCCAGTCAGTGCTGCCTATCAGTGCTGCCTATCAGCGCCATGTATCAGTGCTGCCTTTCAGTGCCCATCAGTGATGCCTGTCAATGCCTATCAGTGCCACCTACCAGTGCCTCCTCATCAGTGCCCATCAGTGCCACCTATCAGTGTCCATCAGTGCAGCCTATCAGTCCCCATCACTGCAGCCTCATTAGCGCACATCAGTGAAGGAGAAAACTCATTTATTTACAAAGTTTTTGTTATAAAATTAAGAAAAAGCATTTTGTTTTCAAAATTTTCAGTGGTTTTTGGTTTGTTTAAGAAGAAATAAAAAACCCAGAGTGGTGATTGATTAAATACCACCAACGTGCGGCAGCGCTGAAAGCTGGAAATTGGCCTGGGCAGGAAGGGGTATAAGTGCCCTGTAGGCTAGCGGTTAAATTTCATTTTTTTTTTTTAAATGTCAGTCTTGATGCAGCAGGTTCTATACATTGTACAGATGTGCAACCTTGCAGGTAGTTTTAACCACTTGCCAACCGTGCTATAGCCGAATGACGGCTACAGCGCGGTTGTCCAGTTTTGGACGTCCTCCCAGAACACGCCCTCCCGTGCGCCCCCAGGGGCATGCACCTGGTGATCTGCATGATTACCAATATTCCAAAAACAGACGCTTTCAATATCATACAATAACTAGTGGAAGACGGCCGTCCTGTAGATCCCCACCAGGTTTACTCTGTCTTCACGGCACTATCAGGATCAATTAGACATGATACTCCATATTTCCCATATACCATGCTCCATATAAATGTAAACATATGATGGACAGAATAGTGTGATACCGCCAAAGATATACCAATATAGATTAACTTTAATCAGAATGCTCACATTTTATAAAACTTCAAAACCGCTTCTAATACCATGCAGTAGCCTTGCTGCCATCCAGGAAATGTCCAGGGATAAATAGATGATCTTTCCCCCCTTTTCCAAAATGGCCGCCGGTCAAATTTCTGGTTCCTGTGTGCGTCTTGACGTCACTTCCCTTTGACGCGTTTCATCATCGACTTAATCATAAGGGATAAGGACGTCAAGCAGGACAGTTTCTATTTATATCTCACATACGTATATATTCTTATTCTTATTATTATAGCCAATTTTACCACCCTAACTCCTCCCACAGTTTTTTTACACTACATAGACAAGTAATATACCGAAACGTGCGGATTGTTCCGATTGGTGTGCTATTACTTTGTGGAACGTTTCGCCAAATGGTTCACGAAATATCGCCATTTTTGTGGTGAAATTTGTCCCATAGGAATGAATGGCGCAACTAGAGTGGGAGCTGACAAAGCTAGAGTGTGGAAGGAAAAATCAGGACATGATATCTAAACTGCCATCACTCTGTCATTTTCAAGCCCACCTACACATATCATTATATCAAAACGTTCAGCTAACCCTGCTGCCACTAAAAATGTTCACGGCTAAGCCATAGTCCTAATAGTTTTCACAATATGACCATTTGTTTGCAACTTACCCCTCCCACTGACTTTCATTGAAAACTCCACTCTAGACACCTGAAATTTCAAGGGCCATTTTAAACTGCGACTGTGCCTTCATTTTTAATATTTCAGAGACATACTATACATCAAAATGTAGGTCTGGCTCTTGTGATTCTCACAATATAAAGCTCTTCGCAGTAGCATTTATACTTTTACAACTACAAGTGTTTGAAGATGGCAATCGCCAGTGAGATTTGGCAAGTTGGAGCAGTGTGTTTAGAAAAGCCCCTCTCAGCTTCCTGTGACTGACTGAGTGAGTTGCTATAGCAACCAAAGATGACTCACCAGGCAGCTGAGTCACCAAGGCTAGACTGTGAGCTGCAAAATAAAAGTTGAAATGCATTTCTCACTCTATCAGGCTTGCCATGTGCACTGCTTACATTTCATCAATCATTTGGTTAGGGTTGGATGCAAGAACACTTCACACAATTTCCCCCAAAAATTGTACCTTTTCTAGTTAAGTGTTCTTGTATGGAAAGACCACTTATTGTTATCTCACATATATATTCTTATTCTTATTATAGCCAAATTTGCCACCCTAACTCCTCCCACAGTTTTTACACTACATAGACAGTAATATACAGAAACGTGTGGATTGTTCTCGATTGGTGTAGTGTACTATTACTTTGTGGAACGTTTCGCCAAATGGTTCACGAAATATCGCTGTTTTTGTGGTGAAATTGGTCCCATAGGAATAAATGGCGCAATGTTCAAAACTAGAGTGGGACATGACAAAGCTAGAGTGTGAGATGAAAAATTAGGACATGATTTCTAAACTGCCATCACTCCCTCATTTTCAAGCCCACCTACACAAATCTTATATCTAAACGTTCAGCTATCCCTGCTGCCACTAAAATTGTCCACGGCTAAGTCATAGTCCTGATAGTTTTCACAATATGACCATTTGTTTGCAACTCATGCTGCCCATTGACATTCATTGAAACTCCACTCTAGATACCTGAAATTTGAAGGGCAATTTCTAAACTGCGACTGTGCCTTCATTTTTAATATTTCAGAGACATACTATGCATCAAAATGTAGGTCTGGGCCTTGTGATTCTCACAATATAAAACTCTTCACTGTAGGATTTATAGTTTTAAAACTACAAGAATTTGAAGGTGGCAACTGCCAGTGAAGTGAGCAACTTGGAGAAGTTTGTTTTTAACCGCTCCTCTGCCGTTGCTGTAGAGTGAGTTGCCATAGGAACCCAGGTGTGTGAGCAGGCAGCAGAGTGACAAAAGCTACTCCACCCACTCCAGTTGTAGACTACTGGTGGAGGCAAGAACACTTCACACAATTTCCCCAGAAATTGTAGCTTTTCTAGTTAAGTGTTCTTGCATGGCAAGACCACTTATTGTTATCTCACATATATATTCTTATTATAGCCAAATTTACCACCCTAACTCCTCCCTCAGTTTTTACACTACATAGACAAGTAATATACCGAAACGTGCGGATTGTTCCCGATTGTTGTGCTATTACTTTGTAGAACGTTTCACCGAATGGTTCACGAAATATCTCCGTTTTTGTGGTGAAATTTTCCCATAGGAATGAATGGCAGAATGTTCAAAACTAGAGTGGGAGCTGACAAAAGCTAGAGTGTGAGATGAAAAATCAGGACATGATTTCTAAACTGCCATCACTCTCTCATTTTCAAGCCCACCTACACATATCTTAAATCAAAACGTTCATGTTAGAAGCTTTCCTTAACCTAATATCTAATATCTTCTTATTAACAGTACTAACATAAGTATGAATGAGTTGGATCTTAATAGAATAATTGAGTTATTATATTTATATTTGTTCTAGATTGGGAAAAGTAAGTAATTAGACTTCATAGTCTGTGAATATACATATGAACATATATCTTGGGTTTTTTCCTTTACATTCAAGCCACATATGAGAGCAATTAGCTATACCTTCCCCCATTCTCCCCCATCTATGTAAGAGATAAAGTTACACTCAGACTTTGAGAGAAGTAGACTGGAGGTTTGTTATATATACACATCTGTTTCCAATTATTTTGTGGGACTACAAGTATACCAGCCCATTTTTAGGAGATGGTGGGGGCTGGATTGCTCTTTTTAGAGCAGGACAAAGGTTTAAGACACACATTCTTTGGGCAGCAAGGCGAAGGGAGCTGCTTGCTCATATCCACACACATTCATATTATACACACACAATTACATACAATTTTATTATTAAGAACTTAACTATACTTTTTGGACTTTATTTAAACATTCTGTATTCCAATATTTTATTTCTAATTTTATGCAACATTATAATTAAATCATCTTTTTGAGTTTATGCAAGAAGTGGAAGGACTTTCTATTTGAACATTTCTCATCAATACAAGTTAATAAAATATCGAGACAATACGATATTTTACAGTTCAGCTATCCCTGCTGCCACTAAAAATGTCCACGGCTAAGCCATAGTCCTGATAGTTTTCACAATATGACCATTTGTTTGCAACTCACGCCGCCCATTGACATTCATTGAAACTCCACTCTAGCCAACTCAAATTTGAAGGGCAATTTCTAAACTGCAACTGTGCCTTCATTTTTTTAATATTTCAGAGACATACTATGCATCACAATGTAGGTCTGGGTCTTGTGATTCTCACAATATAAAGCTCTTCACTGTAGGATTTATAGTTTTTAAAACTATGACCATTTGAAGACACCAGTGAAGTGAGCAATTTGGAGCAGTTTTTTTTTTTAACCGCTCTTCTCTTCCCTATTTGAAATCTAATTTTGAATTGGTGACAGTTTGGTCGGCTTCTGGTTAAAGGTTTGGAAATAAGTTTTCTACAGTAGAGAGTATTTGAGGTGATAATGCTGCTAGTTTTTATAAATGCATGTTTTAATGTAACTGTGAAGCACTTTGGGCAACAACATTGCAATTAAATGTGCTATATAAATAATTAAAAGTTGAAATGCATTTCTCACTCTATCAAGCTTGCCATGTGCACTTTTTACATTTGATCAATCAATTGGTTAGTGTAATGTTTACTATCTTTACTCACTTCAAACACTCCACACAGTTACTCTGCCCACTCCATAAAGTTACTCTGCCCAGTCCAACCTTTTCACAGTTACTCCAGCCGCTCCAACCACACAACAGTTACTCAAGCCACTCCACCCAGTTACTCCGCCCACTCCAGTTGTAGACTACTGGTGGAGGCAAGAACACTTCATACAATTTCCCCAGAAATTGTAGCTTTTCTAGTTCTTATTCTTCTTATTATAGCCAAATTTACCACCCTAACTCCTCCCACAGTTTTTACACTACATAAACAAGTAAACAAGTAGTATACCGAAACGTGCGGATTGTTCCCGATTGGTGTGCTATTACTTTGTG